TACTGCGCCTGCCTGGGGGCTGCTGGAGAGGAAGCAAGCCCCGCCCAGACCCCGCCAAATCCCTCGAAGTCTCTCTTGTTCCCCAGGATCTTCGCCCTAACGACTCTGTACCTGGAACGTTCTCAAAAGCAATATGATTTTTAAAAATTGACTTCATCACATATTCTTTGTGTATTTTAATTTAGTACGCTCTGCTTTTATTTTTTCTGCTTTAAGTGTAACATTTTCAAATGTTGCCCTAATAACACATTTTTCTTTCTTAGTTAGAAAAGCTACTAGGAGAAATCATTGCTTGTCTACACTTCAATTACACTGGAACTTATGACACTGAACTTCTTGAACAGATCTCCCCATTATTATGCATAATATTTTTGCACAAGAATAAACAGATTCGAAAACAGAGTGCTCAGTTCTGGAATGCCACATTTGCTAAAGTGACGGCGTTGATTTATCCTGAAGAGTTAAAGTATGCTAACTGCAAAATTCTTATATATTCTATTTTGATCATGTAAATTCACTTTTTGGTTTTAACATAAAATTTTCTTACCAGAAATTATTGCAGAAAATTTCTTAGTTGAAATATTGTTATGCTAGTCATTAAACATTATTTGACCATTTGTTTGGTTTTAGAATAGTAACCTCTTGGTTTTAGGAACATAAAAAGCAACTTGAAATTATCCTTAATAAAACAAACAGAAAAGGCAGGAAATTGTTCGTTATTAAATCTAGGTGTGTGCACATGGGTACCTAATGTAATTATCTGCCTTTGCTTCAAATTTTCTACATTTAAAATTTGGAAAATTTGAAAAGTTTTTTAAAAAAAATTGAAATCAGAAGAATTTAGCAAAAAATTTAAATATTGCCAGTAATTTCTCTCAGTTTTATATATGGAGAGTATGGAATAGTCTTTAAGATGGATGTATTTTGCCACTTAAAATTAAAGTGTTCTTGTTAATATCAATATTCACCAGTACTACTTGATTCAAAATATGTATGTTTATGTGTTTTTTTAAAAAGACCTATACTAAGACAAGCCAAAGAAAAATTCCTACTGCTGTTGCCTGGTTTGGAAAGTGTTGAAATTATGGAGGAATCCAGTGGACCATATTCAGATGCAGTGAGTTTGTTCTTTTTACTTTTGAATGATGTTTGATCAGTTTGTTTAATGTGATTTTTAAAAGGTCAAAAACTTAGACTGTTTTATTGAAGTGATAAGTAAGTACAACCTGGACAGATGCTTCATAATAAAGGATTTTTTTCTATAAAGTCAATTAATTGGCTTGAAATACATTTATGACTTAAGGGCAGAAAATTTCATCCTAGATTTTTGTGTAAATTTCTGGTGCCTGTTCATTAATGATCTCTTGAATTACTGTACCTCATGTGAACTGTTTTGCAAAGGCTGTAAATTATTAAAATACATGTTTAAATGTTGCTTTTTAGATAAACTAGGAGTAGTAGTTACTTGTCCACGTCTAAGCAAGAGCTACCCTTTATTTTCTCATTTCTTTGCATTGAATCATTCCTTCTGTCAGAAAAGCACATCTTTGCACAATTGTTATTTTGGCTAATGATAACCTGATTACTATTTGAAGATGAAGGAGTAAAGGCATGTATACCCCATTGAAGTGGAACACCCTTAGACAACTTCATCCTCAGACAACATTTTTCTTCAATAGCAATGTAGTTTAGCTGTGTTTTGTTTAGAACCTGTAAAAAACAGAAGGTGGTATAGCTTGCCAAATACCCTATTTAATTTTGGATTTTGGCTGAAATAAAACTGATTTAATAAATAAGTCTAGAACGCTGAGGCTTATTTATTGTAATTTGGCCTGAAAAACCCATATAGTCTTTTGAGAGGGATATGATAGTTAATATTTTCTATTATACATGCCTTATTGTTTAATGTTTAAAGTTTTATGGCTTTGGTTTTTCTTTTAGAACTATTTCCAGTAGTAGGTGTATTTTGAGTTTAGTGATTTTTATTTTTATTTTTATTTCTGTATTTATATGGTATATCTTGTTTTCAGAATTCATAAAATTAAGTGGTGCAAAACAGCTGTTGTTTAAGTTGGGGATACCAAATCTATTTGCTGTTATTGAAATTGACATTGCCTTTCTTTTCATTGATGTGATTTTGCTAGGGTTGAATAGTGAAAAGAAATTTGAAATGAGTATACATTACATTGGAAATTTTAAAACGTGAAAAGGGAAATAAAGTAGAACAGTTGTACTTATTGAAATTGTTTTATTTGCCATAAACAGACAGAAAACTCACAATTAAATATGAAGATAAGTGGCATGGAAAGAAAATCAAGTGGAAAAAGAGATTCTTTTTTGGCAAAACCAAAGGGTTCAAAAGAAAATATGAAATCACCAGCCAAAGTATGTTTTTTCAAATTTTATTTCACAGAACTTTTAAAAGTAAAGTGTATGGTAGCTTGAAAGCACGCAACTTCTACTTTGAAGAAAAATTGGTTAAAGACTAAATGTAGGATTGCAGGAGAATATGAGTTTGGTATAGAAAGAACATATTAGGATGGCATGGATATGTAGGAGCTTTGGGAGATGATTTCTTCTTAGTTAAGTTAGGTCTGCATAATACTTAGCACCCATTAAGTAGCAGCCTTCTTGAGATGGAATGAAAATAGATATGAATAGCTGTAACATAGCATAAGAGGAAAATTTTTTAGAACTTGTTGTTAAATAGAAACAAAATGCCTAGGTAATCTATTTTAACATCAAATCTAAAACTAAATATCTCTCTACTTTACATTTAGCTGATTTATGTTACTGATACATTGCGCATATTATTTTGGCAACTGAAACTTGACTAGTTTATACCTCACCTTGAGAGCCACAGATGTACTCTTCTCCTGTCAAACAAGTTAATTTCTGCGTGTTGGCCTGAAAAACATATTTTTCCATGCTATATTGGTAAACATGCCTATTTTTTTAGAGAGGTTTAATAATTTTTATTTTCTGAGTATTAGAGCTACAAAGAAAGGGAGGGACATTGTGCTAATTCTTATTAATGAGAAATCTTATATGGGTTTGAACTTAAAAATTCCTACTCATTATCAAAACCTTAGAGTGTTAGAACTGAGATTTATTGAAGTATTGGAAAAATAATTTGGCAACTCAAATGTACATTTTTTTAAAATTTGTAGTTGAAACTAGAATCTTCATCTCCCAAAATAAAGAGTGAAATGCCTTTGGAAGAAGAAAAGTCTATTGAATTTGTATTTATACCTCCAGAAGGAAAAGAAGCAAAGGAGAGAATACTAACTGAACATCAGAAAGAAGTACTCAAAACAAAGAGGTTTGTAGTCTTATTTTGAATCGAGTAATCTGTAGTCACTTACATTTTTTGCAGCAAACTATAAACTGGATTCCTTTATTGAGGTAGTGGACGTGGGGGTATGGAAGATGGTTTCATGGAAAATAAGCATCTAAGCATTGATTTTATATTGTTCTTAAAAGAGAACTAAATGTAGAATTTTAGGTTGTACTTTCTAATTGTAGGAATATCAGATATTGAACTTATAAAATCCTTTCCAGGTGTGATATTCCTGCCATGTATAATAATCTGGATGTTTCACAAGATGCATTATTTTCTCAATATACTCAGGAAGAATCTATGTAAGTATGGAAGCCACTGAAGTAACTGGTTTTTAAAGTAATTAAAAACTACTCTAATTTATATTTATTTATTTCAGGGAGGTTCCTAGATTAGCTGAAAAATTGAAGGAAGATTCCAAGATGATACTTAAGGTATACAGATTTTGGGGGTTTTCAAATCAGTCTTCTTCCACTATGAAGTCTCTTGTATTTTTTTTAATGTTTTTATTGATTTCAGAAAGAGAAAGGGAGAGGGGGGGAGAGAGAGAGAAACATCAGTGATTAGAGTGAGTCATTGATCCGGTTGCCTTCTGCATGCCCCCTATCTGGAATTGATCCCACAACCTGGGCATGTACTCTGACCCAGAATCAAACCATAACCTTCTGGTTCATAGGTCAGTGCCCAAACACTGAGCCACCCAGGCCAGGCTCTTGAATTCATTTTAAGATTTTCTGTTTAATCTCTTAACTCACACTAGCAGATGTTAGCAGTATTATAGTCATTGGGTGGGCATGTGGATGTATTTAATTTTATTGAATATTTACAATTAGAAACAAATAAATGGGCATCTACCACCATCTTTGGAGTATTTGCAAAATATTGAAAGTCGGGGATTGCCTTTTGAATTACTAAAATTTCCCCCAAAAGTCAGACTTGTTTGCTGGTTAACCTATATATGTACATTTCTGTGCAGGAGGAACTAATGAAGAGTGACATTATGCAAGATGTTACGGAAAACTGTGGTATGAAAGAACATCTCAAAAAGACTTCCGTTTCCAATGAGATTGGTTCTATTGAGGAAACCAATCTGGGAATACTGAGCAGTAATAATAATGCCCGAAAAAAAGCTTTAATTTCATCAAAGAAAATATCAACTGAATGTGCATCTAGTGCAGAAAACACTTTTGGTGTTAGCAGTAGCTCGGTTTCTAATATCACTATTTCTGGAACATCCCCACAGCCTACAAGTCGAAGGCAAACCTTTATTACTTTGGAGAAGTTTGATAGTTCAGAAAATAGACCTTTTAGTCTTTCCCCCTTGAATAATATGTCATCAGCTGTTACAGTGAAAAATAGTCAGGAAGGCACGAATAAAACAGATACTCTACCAAAAGCAAAGAGAAGAGAAGTGGCTCTTTCAAAATCTGATTCTGAAAAAATAGTGCATGGAAATAAGCGGTCAGGCCTAAGGTCGAGTAAAGCTGAACAAACAGGGAGTAAAAGGTCTAAGCTCTTAACAACATCTGATCGGGAAAAAAATACTGGGGAATCTATTGATAGCATGGTAGCCTTAGAAAATAACCCAGCTGTTTTGCTTAATCAAACAGAATGTGTGTTAGATAATCAGGCTCATCTCTCAGAATCCTCAGTGGAACATGAGGATACAGTGCTTAAACCAACAACAGAAAATGCTTTATTAGAAAGCAGTATTGTAGAAGAGAAAACTTTAGGAAGTAATTTGGAATCCAAAGAAAATACACCCCCAACCATAATACCAGCTGATCAAATGGTAAATGAGGATAGTCATGTTCAGATAGTTCCAAATCAGAAAACCCTTAGACGATCTTTAAGGCGACGGTCAGAAATAGCAGAGCCTACCACTGATAGCCAAGATAAAGAAAATAATCATCAAAAAAAGGAAAGACGAAAGGAAGAAGAAAAAACTCTTCAGAAGAGTCCGTTACATGTAAAAGATGATGTGTTACCTAAGCAAAAATTGATTTCTGAGCAAATTGTACAGGAAACTTTAATTGAGGATGATTCTTTACATGAGAAGACTTTGGGGGAAACCAGCACTAATGCCGAAATTGACAAAAGTAGAAGAAAGCCAGACCTTGAGAATATTAAATCTGAGGGAGATGCTGCCCAGGACGTGGCAGAGAAGTCCTCTGAGAAACCAGTAAGGGGACGAACACGGTATCAAACAAGAAGAGCATCCCAGGGGTTACTTTCCAGCATTGAAAACTCCGAATCTGATAGTTGTGAAGCAAAAGAGGAAGGTTCTAGAAAGAAGAGATCTGGAAAGTGGAAAAACAAAAACAGTGACAGTATTGACATTGAAGATCAGGAAGATAAGATGGAAAAACAGGAATGTGTAAAAGTTGAAAATCAGACACATGATCATAAAGCAAATTCTGAATTGGACATAAATATAAAACCTCAGATTTGTGGGGAAAAAGATGAAAATGCTGTAGCTCTTCAAGATTCTACAGTATCTTCAGATTTATTGAAAGTATGTGATATATCTAATAGTTATGAAGGAAAAGGTAAAACTAACAAATGCGCAGAATATTCCTTATCAAATTCTTCTGTATTAGAATTAAATCTAAGGACTAGAAATGCCAATAAGAGAGTACAAAAGCGAGATTCCATAGAAAACAGCAGTGTGGAAGAATGGTCAAAAACAGGGACATCAGACATTTCTCTGCCTTCTGAAAAAACTTTTCAAACACCCGAATGCCGACACAAGAGAAGTAGGAGGGTAAGGAGATCTAAAGGTTGTGATTGCTGTGGAGAAAATTCACAACCTCAAGAAAAGTCACCCCTTGGGTTTACAAATACAGAAAATTACAATGTAAAGGTCAATGAAACCAAAAAGATTGATGTGCAAACACCTGTAACTATACCAGAGACTTCTAAAGCTAATTATTCTGAGGCTAACCTTCCAGATGAGCTGCATAGTGTGAGTTTTCATTTGGGTCTCAAGGAGGACAATGATACTATTGATTCATTAATTGTACCTGAAACAGAGTTGAAAGAAAATAATATTCAAGACTCACTTCCTTCTGAAATAGTAAATCTTAAAGAAGAAATGTGTGATATGGATTTAAAGAAAGCAATAGATATTGAAAGCCAAGAGCCATCTAATAAAAAATGTAAGACTGTTGGTCCATGTTTAGGTGATTCCAAAGATAATACGCTGGAATGTTCTACTTTGGAGACCAAAGAAGAAAAGTCAGAAGCTATACTAAAAATGGAAGTAAATACAGAGAACACTGTTAATGTTGAAGCAGATGCATGTAAAGTAAAAGCAGAATTCAATCCAGAAGATGTAGAAGCTATGGAATTGGATGTAGAATGTGACAAATCTGAAGCTAGCTTCTCTGAACAAATGAGTGCCACAACTGGTATTTTTGAGGCAGAGGCACCAGAGGAAAACAGTACAAGAAGTGATGAATCTGAAGCAGATGCAGCTGAAGTACTGAATGCTGAAGAAGCTGTAACTGAGGAAATTAGTTCAGCTATTGATCATACTGATGAAATTACACCTATAAAAGTAGGAGCTCAGATAGAAGTTTCTGAACAAATAGCAGTTGGGGGACTAGATGGAATAAATGATGAATCTTATCCAGGCCCATCTGAAGAAATGAATGCTGAAATGGAAAATTATGAAGATAGAGTAATTGGTGAGGTGAATGTTGAAAGTGACCATGTCAGTGAAACAGAGGATGGAGACTTGACTACCAAAGCATCAAAGCCTACAGAAGGGAAAACAGACAGATTGAATATAGAAATTGACAACTTCATTCTTAACACAATTAGCACTGAAGAAGGGAAGGTTAACTGTGATAAAACTGAAACAAGCATTGTACTTAATAAACCCGAAGAAACAAAATTAGATGACAGTCAAATGAAAGTGGGAAATGATGGTGACATTTTACAGGAAGTTCATAATTCAGAGAAAGTGAAGGAAACATCACAATCTCAGACATCTGAAAGAGATATCTCTGAACTGATAACAGAAGACAATAATCTATCTCCTCAAAAGATAAGCGAATTTGATCCTTTACTTTTGTCAACAACTGACAGTCCTAGTGGCATGCAGGCCCGCTGTTTCTGGTCTCCTTTGGCTTCTCCATCCAACAGCATTTTAAAGAGAGGACTAAAGAGACCTCAAGAAGATGAGATCTCATCGCCTGTTCACAAGGTAGGGTTTTGAGGCTGAATATTAATGACCCATGTTTTGTTTTTTGTTAAATTTGTGTTTATTGGTGAAAGTATTACATCCCCCTTTCCCCCCCATTG